GGCCTGGACTCCTGGGTCTGAGGCAGGAGGGGCTGGGACCTGGACTCCTGGGTCTGAGGGAGGAGGGGCTGGGGCCTGGACTCCTGGGTCTGAGGCAGGAGGGGCCTGGGAATCCGGAGTCCTGGTGCTGAAGTTTGCCATTCTCATGTCCTACTCATCCTCTCCAGGTGGAAATTTGGACTCCCAGGGAGACCCTCTCCCACGTGTGCCGCTGCCTCCGTCGGACCCCAAGCGCCAGGAGACCCCTCCCCCCAGATCTCCCCTGGTGGCTAATTCGGGTTCCACCGGGTTCTTCCGCAGAGGCAGTGGGCGTGGCGGAGGCCCCGCCCCCTGGGGGCCCACGTGGGATGCCAGGATCGCCCCTCCGGTCCTGCCCCAAGACGAGGGGGCGTGGCCTTTGCGCGTCACTCTTCTACAGTCCAGCTTTTAACCCTCCCAAAGGCGGCAGCCAATCGGAGCATAAGGACGTGACCCGGAGGTACCGCCGGAGAGATCTGGGACCACTCAGGGCATCAGGGGGCGTGGTCTGGTCGCTGTCGCCGGCCCGGGATGGGAATGGTTTCTATGGCCAAAGTTTGGTTTTCTCAACACTGTCTAAACTTGGATTAAAACTTTGAACTTGTAGTCAATAACTTTGTTTCTGTCTGTTCGGGGTTGTGGCGCTGGAGTCTCTGATGGGCAGAGCCGGAGTCGTGGACTCCTGGGTCCTGAGAGAGGAGGGGACAGGGGCCTTGGACTTATAGGGTCTTGGACTTTTAGGTCTCTGAGAGGAAGGGATGGAGAAGCTCATCCCTCAGTCTGAGGGAGGAGGGGCTGGGGGCCTGGACCCCTGAATCTGAGGGAGGAGGGACTGAGGTCTTAGGGAGGAGGTGAGTGTCTGAGGGAGGAGGGCCTGGAGCTCCTGGATTCCTGAGTCTGAGGGAGGAGGGGAGTGTCTGAGGGAGGAGGGACTGGGGCTCCCGGATTCCTGGGTCTCCGGGAGGAGGGGAGTGTCTGAGGGAGGAGGTCCTGGAGCGCCTGGATTCCTGAGTCTGAGGGAGGAGGCGAGTGTCTGAGGGAGGAGGGACTGGGGCCAAACCCAGGTCTCCAGCCTTCCTGGCAACGCCTCCCGGGGCCGGACTTCCAGGATCCAGCCCCTATTGATGGTTTGATGAGAGGCTCTCACGCGGCTTTGGAGGTGGACAGAGGCTCAGAGTCGAGAGACAGACAGAGACCGACGGAGACGGGATGGCCACGGGAACGCGCTATGCTGGGAAGGTGGTGGTTGTGACCGGGGGCGCGCGCGGCATCGGAGCCGGGATCGTCCGCGCCTTCGGTGAGCGGGGTCTGGCCTCTGGGAGCTGGGGCGTGTGAGAGAAGAAGGATGGGGGCGGGGCGATGGGGGCGGAAAATAGGGACCCCAGTACTGCAGCCGGGATTCTGACCTGACAAAAGCCCATTTGCAGGCTAAAGTAAGCGCATGCCGCGGTAGGCTGGGGCTGAGTCTGGCGGGGTCTCGGAGGGCAGTGGCCCCCTTTCTCTGGGTCTGTTAGTGAAGCTGCAATACCAGTGGCTTGGGGAATGGCTCTGGCAGTCGTGGGGCTGGCTCTGGAACCCACGAACGGGGGCTCAGGAGCCTCAGCAGAAACCTGGGCAGGCAGGGAGAGTATGCAACAAGGCCTCTACTCTCTGTCCTGCGGGTGATCATGAGACTGGGGTCACGAGGAGAGGGGAGAGGGAGAGCTACCCCACTCTAGGTGGCCACCAGAGGGCGGCAGAGGCTTGACCCAAGGCTCGGAGGGTCACCTATTCTCTTCCCATTCTCAGTGGACAGCGGGGCCCAAGTGGTTATGTGCGACAAGGATGGTGAGTGACAGTCCCTCAGCCCTCACCCCGGCCCTCCTCCCTCAGCCCTTACCCTGGCCCTCCTCCCTCAGACCCAGGGGTCCAGGCCGCAGTCCCTCCTCCCTCAGACTCAGGGGTCCAGGCCCCAGTCCCTCCCTCAGATTCAAGGGTCCAGGCCCCCAGCCCCTCCTCCCTCAGACCCAGGGGTCCAGGCCCCAGTCCCTCCCTCAGATTCAGGGGTCCAGGCCCCAGCCCCTCCTCCCTCAGACCCAGCGGTCCAGGCTCCCCGCTCTTCTCTCACTGCAGAGTCTGGGGGACGGGCACTGGAGCGGGAGCTCCCTGGAGCTGTCTTTATCCTCTGTGACGTGACTCAGGAAGATGATGTGAGGGTGAGCAAAGTTCCTGTTCCTACTCCGCGTCTCCGCTAATTGCCAGTTCTTTGTTCTCCGCCGGGCATCTGCATATGCCGTTCCCTCTACTTTTCCTTCCTCTGCTGGCTCCACTGGCCCCATCAGAGGTTTCCACCCAGTGTCACTCCCACACAAGTCTTCCGTGATTGGCTCCCACCTCTCCAAGGCTCTTAGCACACCTGACACGTGAATGGAAATGAATCAAAGTCCCTCAAAGTGCGTCAGCTGGAACTGATTTTTCTTTCTCTTTTGTGTTTTTGGAGATGTCGCCCAGGCTGGAGTGCAATGGTGCAATCTTGATTCACTGCAACTTCCATCTCCTGGGTTCAAGTGATTCTCCTGCCTCAGCCTCCCGAGTAGCTGGGATTGCAGGTGCTTGCCACCATGCCAAGCTAATTTTTATGTATTTAGTAGAGACATGGTTTCACCATATTGGCCAGGCTAGACTCAAACTCCTGACCTCAGGTGATCTGCTCACCTCTGCCTCCCAAAGGGCCTTCAGCTCCTCCTCCCTCAGACCCAGGATTCCAGGCTCCCAGCTCCTCCTGGGTTGGAATTCCAGGTGTGAGCCACCGCACCTGGCCTGTAACCAATTTTTCTCCCTTATTTCTGTTTCTGGGTTCCTATTTTCTCCTTTTCATTTTTTTTTTTTTTTTTGAGAGGGAGTTTTGCTGTTTGTTGCCCAGGCTGGAGTGTAGTGGTGCCATCTGGGTTCACCGCAACTTCCACCTCCTGGGTTCAAGTGATTCTGCTGTCTCAGCCTCCCAAGTAGCTGGGATGACAGATGCCAGCCACCACAGCTACCTAATTTTTGTAGTTTTAGTAGCAACGGGGTTTCGCCAGGTTGGCCAGGTTGGTCTTGAACTCTAACCTTGTGATCTGCCCACCTCGGCATCCCAATATGTTGGAATTACAGGTGTGGGCCACCATGCACGGCCCCTACTTCTTCCTTTCAATCAGTATCTCTCTGTTATCTGCCCCACTTGGGTAACTGTCTCCTACACTCTATCTGAACCCTTGTCAACCCCCACCCCTGACCTGGGAATGATGACTGCACTGTGGCTCTGACCAGCCCCCTGTCTCCTTCCTGTCTGCCGCTTGCCTGCCGTGTCTGCTGATCTCGGCGTCCTTCTTCCTCTAGCTCTTGTCCCCTGACCTGGGAGTCCAGCTTTCCCCTCCTGCCTTGCGTTTGGCAGCCCTGTCTGCCTTATGGCTGGACACCTCATCTACTGCTCATTCAAAGGACATTTCCTGGGTAAGGCGTGGTGCCTGTAATCCCAGCACTTTGGGAGGCTGAGGCGGGCAGATCACCTGAGGTCAGGAGTTCGAGACCAGCCTGGCCAACATGGTGAAACCCCGACTCTAATAAAAAATATAACAATTAGCCGGCTGTGGTGGTGGGTGCGTATAACCCCAGCTACTCGGGAGGCTGATGCAGGAGAATCACTTGAACCTGGGAGGCAGAGATTGCAGTGAGCCAAGATTGTGCCACTGCACTTCAGCCTGAGCAATGAGGGAAAAAAAAGCAAAAAACAGAAAACAAGAAAATGAAAAAATCAAACAACATTTCCTTCCTCCTCAGACCCTGGTTTCTGAGACCATCCGCCGATTTGGCCGCCTGGATTGTGTTGTGAACAACGCTGGCCACCGTGAGTTGTGAGACCCTAGGGACATTCCCCACTGCCTGGCCCCCAACTCTGTTTCTTGTACCTCAGTTTACCCTCTCCTGCCCCTGATTCCTGCCTCATCCCTCTTTACTTCTTTCCCTCTTTCTTTCTTTGTTTTTTAATTTGGAGACAGAGTCTTGTTCTGTCACCAGGCTGGAGTGCAGTAGCACAATCTCGGCTCACCACAACCTCTGTCTCCTGGGTTCAAGCGATTCTTCCGCCTCAGCCTCCCGAGTAGGTGGGACCACAGGCACGTGCCACCATGCCCGGCTATTTTTTGTATTTTTAGTAGAGGTGGGGTTTCACCGTGTTGGCCAGGATGATCTCGATCTCTTGACCTCGTGATCCGCCTGCCTCGGCCTCTCAAAGTGCTGGGATTACAGGCGTGAGCCACCGCGCCCGGTGAGAGTTTCACTCCTGTTGCCCAGGCTGGATTACAATGATGCAATCTCGGCTCACCACAACCTCTGCCTTCCGTGTTCAAGTGATTCTCCTACTTCGGCCTCCGGAGTAGCTGGGATTACAGGCATGAGCCACCATGCCTGGCTAATTTTGTATTTTTAGTAGAGATGGAGTCTCTCTATGTTGGTTAGGCTGGTCTCGAACTCTTGACCTCAGATGATCTGCCTGTCTCAGACTCCCAAAGTGCTGGGATTACAGGTGTGATTCACCACGCCTGACCCCCCTCACTTTTCCTTTCTCTCACCCCCCCACTTTAGACCCACCCCCTGAACAGTGGCCCGAGGAGACCTCCACCCAGGAATTCCGCCAGCTGCTGGAGCTGAACCTGCTGGGGACGTACACCTTGACCAAGGTGAGGGCTGGCGACCCTGCCACCAGGCCCCAGCAGCCTCCTGATGGTGGATTGTGTGATATGTTTTGTCTAAGAGCAAGAACGTTTATTCTTTTTGTTTGTTTGTTTGTTTGTTGGAGACAGGGTCTCACTCTGTGGCCCAGGCTGGGGTGCAGTGTTGCTGTCTCAGCTCACTGCAACCTCCACCTCCCGGGTTCAAGTGATTCTCATGCCTCAACCTCCTGAGTAGCTGAGGCTACAGGTGCGGGCCACAAAACCTAGCTAAATTTTGTAATTGTTTGTAGCAATGCTCCTGACCTCAAGTGATCTGCTTGCCTTGGCCTTCCAAAGTGCTGGGATTACAGGCTTGAGCCGCCAGGCCTGGCGGTCTATTTTCTGTTCTTTAGTTTAATCTTTTTATCCAAAAGGAAAATAAATGACTGCAAGTCTCTACATCCAGCAAAAGCTAGATGTGAACATAGCTCACTGCAGCCTTGACTTCCTGGGCTCAAACGATCCTCCCACCTCAGCCTTCTGAGTAGCTGGAACTACAAGAGTACCACCATGCCCGACTAATTTTTTTTTTTTTTTTTTTTTTTGAGACAGAGTCTCACTCTGTCACCCAGGCTGGAGTGCAGTGGCTCAATCTCGGCTCACTGCAACCTCTGCCTCCTGGGTTCAAGTGATTCTCCTGCCCCAGCCTCCCAAGTAGCTGGATTATAGAACCTTTCAAACTGGTGTGCTGGTGGTGGGAGGGACACGCACAGTAGCTAACACCTGTAATCTCAGTGCTTTCAGAGGTCGTTGAGGGAGGTTCACTTAAGGTCAGGAATTCAAGACCAGCTGGGGCAACATAGTGAAACCCCGTCTCTATAAAAAGTTTAAAAAATTAGTCGGGCATTGCCCAGTGTGGTGGCCCATGCCTGTAAT